ACCTTTCCGCGTCGCCTCGTCGTCGCATCCTCACCGATATCCTCACCGCACCTGCGTGGGGTGGTACCTGGGCTCCACCTCCGAACACGTCGCCGTGCCCCTTCTGCTGCGCGCGTGTTCTCCTCTCGCTGATTTGTTCCAGACTGGAATGTCGTGTCGTGCCGTGTGCATGTTTGTGCCGCGCCGCGCCGCCCACGCCCCGCGCCGCCGTGTCGTGCCTTGTCGCGCACCTTGTCGTCGTACACCTTGGCAGGCACCAATTGTCGTGCACCTGTTGTGCACCCGTCACGCGCGGATTCGCGAGTTAGGGTCATGCGCCGGCAATGCACCGGTCCTGCACCCGCTACCCGCGTCGCGTTGTCGCTGCCGCGTCGTCGTCGCGTCGTCACGTCGCCGTCGCATCGTCATCGCGTCGTCGTCGTCGGCATCGTCGCCGTTGCGCCATATATCGCCGCCGCCGTCGCCGTCGCCGTCGCCGCGTCGTCTTCATTCCCTCACTCCCGCCCATGGGGTCGTCGCCTCGTCGTCCCATCGTCGGTCGCCTCGTCATCGCCGCACGGCATCCTCGCGGTATCGCCCCACGGTCCCCCACCTTGTCCGCCGCGGTTTCACCCGCTATCCTCACCTCTCTCCTCGCCTCTATCCTCGCCTCGCTCACGCGTCGAGTCGTCGCCCGTCCTCACCCAATCCTCACCCGGCTTGGGTCAGGAGTGAGGCAGCAAGCACCCAGCGAGGGCATCCGTTGGGCACCCGCTTCTGGCCTCTTGTGAGGGCACTGATGCACCTCAGTGAGGGCACCGATTGGACCTGCAGCGACTGTGAGGGCTTGGCGAGGCTGAAGGCTGCGGACTGTGAGGGTTTTCTGGGCACTCGGCAGCGAGGGCACCTGTGAGAGACCTGGAGACTGCAGAGTCTGTCGTCGCTGCGTCACCAGTCATCGTCGTCGCCTCGTCCTCGTCGTCGTCGTGCCTCGTCGTCGCCGCGTCGTCGTTCGCATCATCGTCGCCGCGTCGGCGCCTCTACCTCCATCCTCTGCCTGAGCTCGCCGTGGCACGCCGTGGTCGCCGCGTCTCGTCCTCACCCCATTGTTTTGGACGGTGTCGCAACGTCGTCGCGTCGTCGTCGCCGCGTCCCGTTCCCATCGTCGCCTCGTCGTCCCAGCCGCATCGCCGTCGTCGTCGTCAGCCGGTTCGCCACCTCCCGTGCGCTCCGGTGACTGCCGTCAGCCGCAGCCGCGCCGCTCCACCCGTCACCACTCGCCGTCCGAACCAACACGAACATGCGTGGGCCCGGACTGCTGCCTGACAGCAGGACTGGTGGACGGGCGGGTGAGTCTCGCTTTAGGCTCAGTGTCTGGCGGTTCTCGAAGCTCCGCCGCGCCTCCCCCTCTCCTCCTCTTGCCTCGCTGTTGTGCTGGGGTGGTTCTTCGGAAAACAGGGTGAGGATCTGAGTGAGGATCGACGTGAGGATCGGGTAGTCGGGTTGTGAGGATCGGAGTGAGGATAGCTCCGGTGCCCTGCCTCGTCGTCGCCGTCGTCTCCGCTCGCGTCGCGTCATCGACGCCGACATCGTAGTCGCCACACTCTTCGGAGCACCTAGCCCTCGCCCATGCACCTGCCGCCGTGCCGTCATCTGCGTCCCCACGTCGTCGTCTCCGCTCCCCACGTCGTCGCGCCGTCGTCCCCGCGCTGTCGCGCCGTCGTCCCCGCGCCGTCGCGCCGTCGTCTCTGCGCCGTCGTCTCTGCGCCGCCGTCGCGCCGTCGTCTCCGCGCCATCGTCCCCGCGCCGTCGTCGTTGCCGGTTCATCATCTTCGCGGTCGTCGTCGCGTCGTCGCCTCATCGTTCCTGCGCCTCGTCGCGTCGCCGCGTCGCCGCCCCTGCTCGTCGCTGCCACGCCCACCTGGCCCACGCGTCGTCGCTGGGTCGGCCTGCGTCGTCGCCGCCCTCTCTCCTACCACCTCACCGCCGCCTCGTCGTCGCCGCGTCGTGGTCGCCTCTCCGTCGTCGTCGCCTCGTCGTCGACGAGTCGCGGTCGAGTCTAGCACCGTCGTCGCCGAGTCATCGTGTCGCATCTGGTCGTCGCCATGTCGTCGCCGCCACGTTTCCCGCGTCCTCGCCGCCCCGCCGCCTAGTCTCCGCGCCGTCATCGGTTCATCGTGCCGTCGCGTCGCTCTTCGCTGCGCCGGTCTTTGGTGCATCCCGGTGCACCGTCGTCGTCGCCCCAGTCGTCGTCGCCACCCTTCGGTGCACCGCGGCGTACCGTCGTTGTTGTGCAAGTCGTCATCGCCACCCCACCCCAGCGCACATGATTCGGTGCCCTCAGGTGCACCTTCGTCGTCGTCGTTGCCCCCTCGGCCGGCGCAGTCGTCGTCGCCGTTCGCCCGTCGTCGCCGCAGTCGTCATCGCCGCCGTCGTCGCCGTCGTCGCCGCCCCGCGTCCCGCGTCGCCCGCCAACATTAGTGAGCCGTCGCCGTCGTTTCCGCGCCGTTGTCTCCGCTACGTCCCCACCGGGTCGTCGTCGCCACCCACGTCGTCGTGCTCGCAGTCGTGTCCGCCGCAGCATCGTGTCGCCGCAGTCGTTGTCGCTGGCCCTTCGTTGCACCGCGGTGCATCCCCGGTGTCGTCAGCGCCCCCGCCCCTGCCGTCGCACTGTCGTTGCGGCTCTCGCCGCTGCGGGTCGCCGTTGTGCTCGCTGCGTCGTCGTCGTCCCGGCCGCGCCAGTCGTCCGCGTTCGTCATGTCGTCCGAGCCCAAGCCGCGGCGTTCGCCGTCGGCCGGTGTCCTCGTCGCACGCCCCCCCACTCGTCGTCCGTGCCGTCGGTCGTTGTCGTCGTCGTCGCCACCGTCATCGCTGCGTCGTCGTCGCCACGTCGTCGCCGCGCCGTCATCGCGTCGGTTTGTCGGCTCCGTGTCGTCGTCGCGTCGTCACGTCGTCGCCTCGCCGCCGCCCCTGCTTGTCGCTGCCACGCCCACGCGTCGTCGTCGTCCCCGCATCGTGCCGGGTCGCGCCTGCATCGTCGCCACCGTCTATCCTCACCTTCATCCTCGCCTCCATCCTCACCTCCGTCCTCACCCTATCCTCACCTCACCGCCGCCTCGTCGCCTCGTCGGCGCCGTCGTCGCTTCGTTGTCGACGACAGGTCGCGGTCGAGCTGTCGTGTCATGGCGCCGTCGTCGCCGCCGCGTTTCCCGCGTCGTCGCCACCCCGCCGCCTAGTCTCCGCGGCGTCATCGTTTCATCGCGCCGTCATCGGGCCGTCGCGTCTCTCTTCGGTGCGCCGCGGTGCACCTTCGTCGTCGCCGTGCCGGTCTTTGGTGCATCCCGGTGCACCGTCGTCGTCGTTCCAGTCGTCGTCGCCACCCTTCGGTGCTGGCGTACCGCCGTAGTCGCCCAAGTCGTCATCGCCACCCTTCGGTGCGCCCCAGCGCAGCACCGTCGCCGCCGCAGCTGTCTATAATTCGATGCTCTGCACCTTCGTCGTCGTCGCCCCCTCGGCTGGCGCAGTCCTCGTCGCCGTCCGCCCGTCGTCGCCGCCCCGCGTCGCCCGTCGTTTCCGCGCCGCTTGTAACATGCCTCTGGATATCAACATTTGGGGCAACACGGCTCGGGGGTAACACGGCTCTGCAATGGGTCACATTTTGAGGTAACGCGGCTCTACGCGTGTCTATGGGTTTCGTGACTCGGCGGTCGCCGCCGCCGTCGCTTCGGTGCCGTCGTCTTGGCTGGATCGTGTCGTCGTCTCCCCTGCGTCCCCGCCGCGTCGTCGTCGCCACCCCGACCCCCCCCGCCCGCCACGTCGTCGTGGTCGCAGTCGTGTCGTCGCCGCGTGTCGGCGCAGTCGTTGTCGCCCGCCCTTCGTTGCCCCGGTGTCGTCAGCGCCCCCCCTGCCGTCGCCCGCTCTCGCGGCTGCCCACCGGCCCGCTCGCCCGCCGTCGTCGCCGTGTCATCGCCGCGTCGTCGTCCCGGCCGCGCGTCCGCCAGTCGTTCGAGCCGAAGCCGACCGTCGAGCCCGCTCGCCGTCGCCCGTCGTCCTCGTCGCGCGCCCCGCAGTCGCCACTCGTCGTCCGTGCGTCGTCGCCACCACGCCGTCGTCGGTCGTTGTCGTCGTCGTCGTCGCCACCGTCATCGTTGCCTTCGCCGTCGTCATCGTCGCCGCCGTCCTCGTCGTCAACACTCTCGGTCACGGGTCGCGCTGCCGTTGTGGTCGTTCGCGTCTCCGTCCTCGGGCGCTGTCGGTCCCGCTATCGGTCGCCGGTTGTCATCGTCTGGTCGTCACCGTCGTCCGCCGCCCGTCGCCGCCGTTGTCGTCGTTGATCCTCGCCTCTATCCTCACCCGTCGTCGTGCTCAGCCACCCTGCCGCCGGCATCGCCGACCTGTCGTCGGGTGGTTGTGCTCTCGCCGCCGCGTCGTCGTCGTCGGGTCTTGTGCTCGCCGCCGCCGGTTGGCAGTGTTTCGAGGTTGGCGCGGGACCCCGGCAAAACATGAGGGCCACCCCGGCACTTCCGATTCCTCGATTCTGCAGTGGGCATCAGAACAACGTAATCAAACTTCCGCTTTTGGGGCCTTGCTGCTGCTGCTGCTGAGACTTCGTTGGACCGCCGCCGCAGTCCCGGAGCCCACCCAGCGCTGCAGCTAAGCGTGCCCACGAAGATAGGGTAGTACGAGACGATGACGATGAGTCTTGTACAGCTTGCCCAGGCCTTCCAGGGCTCCGTGTTGAAGGCCATAGTCGCGCCCCAGCCGAAGCTGAACAGCGCGAACGTGTGCAATTTTTTGGCTCAATCAAGCCTCTGTGTAACGCTTCTTGGCTCACGTCCGTGTAAAGCATTTTGGCTCAAACCCTCATTGCTCAAGTAAGTGCGGCGGCCCTTAAAAAAGAACCCTAAACCCCTATGCGCCCAAAAGGAATAAACCACCCCTTTTCCGCGACTTTATTAAAAAATGGGGACGCGTGCCCCCAAAAAAAACAGCCAGGGGTGCACATTTTTGCACGATTTTGCATGGCTTACATGATTTTCCTTGGCTTTGATTTTACTTGCTCGCTCCGCGCCTTCTCCAGGGCAGGGCAACGGCACAGCAAGGCAGCAAACACAGCAGACACAGTAGGCACAGCACTTCAGTCGCACAGTGTCGGGGTGGGTCCGGCCATTCGTTTTGATGCCGGGGCCTGTGATCGGTGCAAAAGTGGTGGAGTGCAGCGTGCTGGTAGGAGTGCAATTGAGGACTGGCAGTAAATAGGTACAGTGCCCTGCTCTTCCCCCTGCGCCCCCTGCTTATGCGAGCCCCGTCTCAGGTGCTTCTTTCGCCGGCTCCGTCATGGCCTTTGTCGGAGCTGGGACTTTTCAGGGCAGGGGCTCCGAGGCAAGTTTAGAGTTAGCGCGTCTGCAGCTCCGGTCTCGTGGCCAGGTTCGTCGCTGTCATCCTCTTCTCGCCGAGGTCCGTGTCGAGCTTGGGGCTTCGGGGGGCTCCGAGGCAATGCTGTGCTCGTTCCCACGTCTCTGGGAAGCCCCCACCCTTCATTCTGGCCAGGCCGTCCTGGTCACGACTTCGCTTCGGGAGGCAGGGTGGGTCGTGACTGCTGCTCCGCCAGTGTTGTGTGTCGATTGCACGTTGACTTTTGCCACTACGGCTCTCTTGAACAGCGCAGCGCGATCTTCACTGCAGGCGCAGACGCTGTGTTTTCAACTTTCCGGTCGGCCGCTCCCGCCACAAGTGAGGCCGGGGGGGGTTTTGGACGCTTGCAGGCCCCAGAGGCTTTGTCCGGCAGGTGCCACAACCTGCTGGAAACGAGATCTGCCTCTCTCCACCAGGCTCTTGGATTTCTGCATGCGTGCTGCAAGCGAGGTCACGTTGTCTGGGGAGAGACCACCAGCGAAGTTCCGAGCACGGGTTCTGCCCGAATCGAGGGCATCAGCACGTCTCCATTTGGAAGAAGCTGTGGCCCATTGTGGTCTCAGTCTCCGGTACGCGTGGCAGGCGACTTTCCCGGACAAGAAGGTGGCCAATCGAGCGATTGTCGAGACCAGCAAGGCAGGGCATCTGCGCGCACAGGGTGGAGGGCAACGACTGGAAGAAGGTTCTCTATACAATCACGTTGTTCAGGAACTGCCTGACCTCCGCTCGAGTGATGGTGGGATCCTCAGCTCTGGCTCTCCTCAAGGTTTGCTCCTGGTTCCCGAAACCTGTCCTTGGATTTTCATAAACTCGCCCGATGATTTCTTGCCTTCGCGCAGCTGCTGCCATCTTCATCTCTCCAGGCTTCGGTGTTTTTTTCGGCGCGCGGCAGGAGGCTTGGCGCCAGGCAATTTCCGTTCGAGCTGCTGCGGCGTTGAGGGCTTGTGTGGCGCTCATCAGGCATGCCGGTTCCGGCCACGACAGCATGACGACGAGGCGTTGGGGTGCTGCTTCGGAGCCTGGCTGCTTGAAGTTGTTTTGTTGCGCTGAGTTTGTTGGTCAGGGGTCCTGCACCTGCGCAGCCTGGGCTTTCGGATTACCTCATCCCCGATCTTCTAGGTTTTTCTGCGTTTGCCATGGCGTCACGAAGCCTTGGCGCGCTTGCGCTTTTTCTGCTGAGCACCTTGGCGCCGGCGTTCTTGTCACAGGCCAGGCCCGGGGGCTCGATGTGCTGGGCTGATGGAGGTCTGTAAGAGTAGCCCGCTCGTACTGGTGTCTCATCGCTGGATACTTGCGAGCGACACTCCAGGGCTTCGGCTGGCTGATTGCTGGCAGCTTTGTTTTGTTTCGTGTACGTGTGTGTGTGTGTGTTTATTGAGATGATGCACCGCAGGCACCAGTGGCTTCCAGACTCAGACCGCTCCCAACGCAGGTGGCTTTGCTGTTCTTGCCGTGCTAGATTGCAGACAAGCTCCATGCTGCAGGCCGCTCTGGAAAGGGCACCGATGCGTGCATGGCCATTTGGGCCTACCCCTACTTCGGCTAGACCGTGGTTGTGGCGACAGCTGGGCGCACTACGCAATAACGTAGTCTTTCTCACGCTTGCCCTTGCCGCGCTCACGTACGCCCTGAATTACGGCAACTCGCCGCAGGGTAGGGTGCGGCGGGCAGCGAAGACCATGATGAAGCCTTTCCCACCCGAATTGGCGAAGGATCGGGTGGTGGAACGAGATGTTGTTGGCAGCATCACAGAGCGAATCGAGAACTGGACGGGCCATGCTACGGTCATTGCGGGGCGATTTGGTTCCGGGAAGACCGTGGCCCTCGAAGCCGCCCTGCGCGACAGGCGGGGCGTCTACGTCCACACCGTTAAGGACAAGGATTGGGAGAATTCGCTCTACCGTGATCTGGGCCTGGACAACATGGGCATGTTGAAGGAAGCCCTGCGCCTGGTCAGAAAGCGGAACCAGGGGTCAACCCCCATCCTCGTATTGGACATTCCTCGAACAACGAAGGAAGGCGCGACGTCGGCGACTTTGGTTGCTTTGTGTTTGATTCGCTTGGGTGCAGGCATGGATACGGTTTCCACCTTCGCCAAGACTCTGTCGTCAGACAGTTCGCTGGCCCACGCCGGGACCCGAAGACTCAGCCGCCCTGTTTTGCTGTGCTGCGCTGTAGGGTCTTGTGCAAGCTCTTCGCAGGGTTTCTTCCGAGGTGATCGTGTGTGCCTCCTCGGTCGCGATGGCCCTCACCTTCGATGCCGGTGGAGAGGAGCGACAGGAAAACTTTTGGGTAGGCGACTTGACCAAGGACGAGGCCCAGAAATTGCTGGGGCTCCACGGGCAGGAGGATAGAAAGGACGAATTCCTTGATGCTTGCCCCTGCGCTGCATTGTTTGCTTTGTTTTGTCGTGAGACACACCATGCGCTGAGTGGGCAGCCCTTGAATCCTTTAGGCGGCTACCGCGCGATGGATCTGGCAAGCACCTGCGAGCGCTACGCCAAGGTTGGGGCGCAGGCCCTCAAGGCCAAGAAGGCCGACATGAAGAAGAATGCCTACAACGATGTGGAGATTTTTTTGAGGGATTGCAAGTTCCAGACGGTAGATGGCATCACGACGGCTGGCAAAAACATCTTGAATGCACTGCTGTCCCAAAAGAGTGCGGGCGGTCCTTCTGTTGGCGAGTTCGCAGGCGGTAGTGGTGTGTTGGCCCGGGATGTTGCGATGTGGATGCGCGAGAAAGGTCGTCACCCCGTGATCTGGCACACAAAGGACCGGGAGTACCAATTCGCATCGGAGCTGCACGCGAATGCAGCAACCGAGATTTTGAAGCGCACCTCCCAGTCGACGCCACGACTGTCTGGAAAGAAGGGCGTGACGTTGAGCGCAGTCTTGAGAGAGTTTCTGTAAGATACAAGATCTGTAGCTGTGCCAGGCCCCGCCGAAGCAGCTGCAGCCAGGGCCCCAAAGCGGAAGTTTGCTTCACGTTGGACGCAAGTTGTTCCCCAAATGCTTTTTCGGTTCTGAATGCTTTGGAGCAGTCAAGTGCGGTTCCCAAAATCTTTGGCGCTTCCTAAATGCTTTTGAGCAGTCAAGCACTAAGCGCTTCTATACGTCCCGAATGCTTGCGTTGCGCATGTCCACAGTTCTGAATACTTTCTCGGCCGCCATGGCCCTGAGCTTTGATGCCGGCGGCGACCAACGTCAGAAGAACTATTGGGTGGAGGACCTTACTGATGACGAAGCCAAGGAGTTTCTGGCCCTCCGCGGGCACCGGGAGGATTGGGAGCAATTCGCACAAGCCTGCGTCTGGGCCGCATTGTTTGCTTTGTTTTGTCGTGAGGGGCCCTGCGCTGCACTGGTTGGAGTGTCCTTCAGGCGACTACCGTGCTGTGGATTTGGACTTAACCTGTGGAGACTACAAGGGGCCGGCGACGCTGGCGGCCAAAAAGGAGGAGATGAAGGCGAAGGCCGCCATTGAGGTACAGCGCTTCCTTGACAGCTGCACGATCAAAGACACCGCTGCTGGTCGGAAGATTTTGGAAGCCCTGATGACCGACCGCAACTCAAGTCCTGGCGAGGGCGTTGACGAGTTGAGCGCTGGCAGCGCCGTGCAGCCAAGAGATGTCGCACTGTGGATCCGCGACAACAAGGTCCACCCGGTCATCTGGCACATGCCGGACCAGAAGTACCGGTTCGCCTCCGAGCTGCACGCAGAGGCCGCGGACGACATTTTGAAGCAGTCCCAATCGTCTCCCTAGCTGTGCGAAAAAAGATTGACTTGCGGGAGCGCTGGCTGCACGCCGACTGGATCTGTAGCTGTGCCAGGCCGCGCCGAGCGCCATCAGCAGCCGTAGCTGAGACCTTGGCCAACTTGAACTGGACTGGTGCTGTTTTGAACACCTCCACACTCTGCCCTGCTTCGCCAGGTTTCCTGGGCCTGAGCCTCAGCAGCGGTTCGCATTGTACAGACTGTGCATTCGTTTAGAACTCAGTTCTGAGTGTGCGGGCAGCGGCGCTACTCATAGAAAGCTTCTGATTCACTGCTCGTTCCAAGTGCCCAAACTGCAGCTCCACAGCTCCAACAACAGTTTGCTCATCAAACCCTGGAGGGTTGCCCGGCCCCTCCAAACCAGCTTTGCCTGATGCTCATTTGCAACCCTGTTGATGCTCAGCTCCAAGCCTGCAACGATGCTCAGCTCGATGCCGGTGGACAGGAGCGTCAGGAAAACTGTTGGGTAGGCGACTTGACCAAGAACAGGGCCAAGGAAGTGCTGAACCTCCACGGGCACAAGGACAAAACGGACGAATTAGAATCGGAAGTGCGGTGTGGCCCTCATGTTTCAACCGGCGGCGGCGAGCACAACCACGACCCGACGACGACGACGACGACGACGTGTAACATCCACATCCCCGGGGTGGCCCTCATGTTTTGCCGGGGTCCCGCGCCAACCTCGAAACACTGCCAACCGGCGGCGGCGAGCACAAGACCCGACGACGACGACGCGGCGGCGAGAGCACAACCACCCGACGACAGGTCGGCGATGCCGGCGGCAGGGTGGCTGAGCACGACGACGGGTGAGGATAGAGGCGAGGATCAACGACGACAACGGCGGCGACGGGCGGCGGACGACGGTGACGACCAGACGATGACAACCGGCGACCGATAGCGGGACCGACAGCGCCCGAGGACGGAGACGCGAACGACCACAACGGCAGCGCGACCCGTGACCGAGAGTGTTGACGACGAGGACGGCGGCGACGATGACGACGGCGAAGGCAACGATGACGGTGGCGACGACGACGACGACAACGACCGACGACGGCGTGGTGGCGACGACGCACGGACGACGAGTGGCGACTGCGGGGCGCGCGACGAGGACGACGGGCGACGGCGAGCGGGCTCGACGGTCGGCTTCGGCTCGAACGACTGGCGGACGCGCGGCCGGGACGACGACGCGGCGATGACACGGCGACGACGGCGGGCGAGCGGGCCGGTGGGCAGCCGCGAGAGCGGGTGAGGGCAGGGGGGGCGCTGACGACACCGGGGCAACGAAGGGCGGGCGACAACGACTGCGCCGACACGCGGCGACGACACGACTGCGACCACGACGACGTGGCGGGCGGGGGGGGTAAAAAATAAGGAAAAGGTTGGTTGTAGGGTTCTGCCCCCCGACCCTACATAGGCCCCTATGTCGTTTTATCAACATAGCTCACTTTAATAATATTTCGTTTTGTTGTCATCTTAATCAATTTTTTGTATTAATTCTGGCAAAATTTTTAACATATTTTATACAGAATTACCTTATGCATTTTCACATTAACGCTCCTCTAACATTTAAACACAAATTTTCACAAATTTTTAACAATTTCTCAAAAAATCCCAGCCCCAGTCATCTCATTCATTTTAACAAAATTTAAAATCAGTTTTAGGCATCTCTAACGTTATAATTTTCTAGGGTTTTTGTCCTTGTAGTAGTTTTTTCAAATATATTGTTTCGGCATCTGTTTCATTCCTTTAAATTTAATCTCCTACTGCGTTTTTGTATTTACTCCTCTGTTTCATTCTAATTTTTTTCAAAATTTATCAAAAAATTATCAAAAAATATCGTTACCTTATTCAGGTTTTTTCGCCTCTCATTTGTATTCAGCTTCTGTCATGGTTTATGTATAATATTCTATATAATATTATGTCTAGGTTTCTGCGGTGGCTTTTGTCTACATTTATAATAATATTTTATATTAATATTATTATGAATGCATAATTGTATATAAGTTTGCTCGACCCTTAGGTTCTGTTTCTTTAAGATATTTTTGATGCTTTTTAGTTTGCATATGTCTTGAAAAACCACATCTATTAAACTGACAATTACAATGAATACAATAAACCTTTTCCTTCTGCTTGCTCAAAATATCGTCTTTATTATTTTGATAGTATTTTTTGTCCCTTTCATTGATTGCTTCCTTGTTGCATTCTCTGTATTGTTTACTCTGAAGAACAATTTGTTCACGATTCTCTTGTTTATATTTTATTGTCCTTGCTATTTCTTTATCACGGTTATTATGGTAATATTCTTTTGCTTTCTGTCTCAATTGTTCCCTGTTCTTCTCTCTATATATGGCTTTCTCTTCTAAACATTCATTACATAACTTTCGCTCTGGTTTAAAATGTTCTTCTCCTTTTTCCTTTTTGCATTTAGAACAAATTTGATTAGATGGTTTAATGTCAGAATTATCCATATAATATTATGGGGCTATTTCTTTAAATGTCTTTTTTAAAGAAACATTATTAATAAGACTCACAGTAGATGAACCCGAAAAACTCAGAGTATGAACCCAAAAACTGAAAAACTACCGTAGACAGCTCCAAAAACTGCCAGTAGACTACCCCAACAACTGCCAGTAGACGACCCCAACAACTGCCAGTAGACGACCCCAACAACTGCCAGTAGACGACCCCAACAACTGCCAGTAGACGACCCCAACAACTGCCAACAGCCAGTAGCCACAACTGACAACTGCCAGTAGACGACCCCAACAACTGCCAACAGCCAGTAGCCACAACTGACAACTGCCAGTAGATGAACTCAACAACTGCCGAAAGCCAGTAGCCACAACCAACAACTGACAACCAACAGCCCCGCGCCCCTACTTAAGGAGAAGCCACCTATGGAGAGCCCCAGCCCAGAACAGAAAATATACTTAAAGACATTTTACCATTATAATAATATAATGTTTTTGTCAACATTAGAACAAGAAGAAATTATTAATAAATTCTTAAATGTTATTGAAATGAAAACAATTATTAATCATAAAGTTAGTATATGTAAAAACTGTAAGTTTAATCAACAGAACTTGAGCTTATATAAATTAAATATACCTAGTAATATTGTTAAAGATATTTGTAAATATAATTATAAAGAATGTGAAGTATGTAAAACTTTAAAAGAGTTTAAAGAAAATGTTTATGATTACAGTATGGAAGATTTTGAAAATGTGGTTAAAGCAGTTGAAGATAAACAACAATATAGTTTAAACAATTACACAGAACATAAAACAGATAATCAAATATATTATTATATTAAACTAAATCCATTTCCTACATTTGATGAGACATTACGTTATACCAAAAGTGTAATACCAGAATGCAAATTTTATAATATTGATTTCTATAATGAGGTTAAATTATTATATTATAATTCATTTAATGTTGATAAAAAAGTAAAAGAATTTTACAGCAAACAACGAAATAAATTTATAAATGATTATTATGAAAATGTAGATAAAAATAATGATACAAGGAGTAAATTTATTAATTATATAAAAAGTCAAATAGATAAAGTTGAAAGTGCAATTAAAGAGATTTTATCATACATAGACAATAATGAAAAATTTAGTAAACTAAAATTTAAATTGTATTCAAATGAAGCTTTTAAATTTATTAATACGCGAATAGGAGAAAATGATTTTGACGATGATTACACATTTGAACGTTTTATAGATGCTAAATATCCTTATATACCTAAAGAACAATACATGAAAAAATTAAACAAACAAAAATCAATAATACAGGACAACGATTATATCAATAGAACAGATGACTTTTTAACATAAAAACTTTAACTATCATATTATATTATAATATGAATGTTAACCGCCAGCCCAGCCGGCACCCCCTAGGCTTAAAGGGTAGCCACCTTAAAGGGTATGGAGAGCCCCAGCCCCACCACGGGTATAAAAAACTACTTAAAAGAAAATCTATATTATAATAATATGGATATTAATAGACAAAAATCTGTAATGAAATATGTTTTAAATAGTGATGTAGGTAAAATTAAAACAAATAAAGACGGTAAACAATTAAAAAAAGTTATTATAGATGATAAAGAATACCCATATAATCCATCAAA